GGCTTACCAAGTTTGTAACTCATCTCTTAGGGATCACTGTCCTTTATTATTTGATCTAGTGTCTTGAAATCCCTTGTTTCATATTTTGAGGGGTTGTTGTTGTTGTTCAGGTGGCACGGTAAATCTGGTCTATCTTGGTCAGAAGTGGAAGTCTTATTTTATCACTTACAATGACTTGGCGCCAGCACAAGGTATATATTCATTACAACAGTAGGTCAAAATCACTCCAGAGGATTTTGTTTACTATGTGGCACATAGGGCTTTCAATGTAGGGTCATCTGGTGTGTCTCTTGTAATAAGAATATTTGCATTAGAATAGCCTAGTCTTTTGTCTCAGTTGTGATTTAGAAATTGGAGTTTCAGATAAGATATTTTTTCTCGTTAATTCTAACAATACAGGGTTTTACTTTATCATAAATTGCGAAAGTAGAAAAAATGGTTTTAGTCTCTGAATCCTCAAAGTGAAATATTGTGAGCACCATTGGTGTAGTGAAGACATTTCTTGGTAGGGGTGGAGAGTATCAAAACAGGGAGGGAGAAGAGAAAAATCCTCCTTTCAAATCCTGTATGGCAACTGTCATTTTTCATGGAATATTATGTGTCATAAAACTCTAGACTAAGAAGGAATCTTTCCAATCATTTCATCCTACTTTCCTACTAGACCTCTTATCAGGACTTTAATAGATAGTAAAGATGATTAAAATAACTTCTCCAACGGAAAGAAGTGGATAAATAGAGAAGTTTTTGGAAGGGTAGTAGGGCCTGGTGTACACCATGTCTAAGATCCCTTGTAGTTCTAAACTCAGTTCTAGAATATCAGCTCTACACAAACCAAGAGTCAACTATAGTTTTCCAAGGTGTTAAGGAACCAATCTAGAACCCTTGGCAACTAAAATGTTGACCAAGCGTCAGTGTCACACCCACAAAAAGAGATAGTAGTCTTGCAAAAAAGGTTTTTTGCAGTATCTATCTATACCTTACACGGGTTATAGCTACTGTGTAATTAATGTGATATATCTACGTTTAGTTCTAAGCACTAAGCACCACCATCAATACTGCCTATCTTCCTGTAATGAACATAATCTTAATATAAAGAGGAACAAACAATAAAAAAGTCAGACATATGGTTTCAAAACTGATTCTGAGAAAGTTAAATTGAAACAATAAGAAAAATCTGAGCATGGATATATTTAAAATGGCCTATATGCATTTGATTCTCTGAAAATGATGCAGAAAGTGCAAAAATGTGGGAAACCTTCTTGGGGGTTACAAGTGTGGAAATACAGAATGAACTGTAAGCTTCACATTTTTCTGTAGACACTTAAGAATCTGCTTTCCATTTCAATATTTTCTTTCTCCTTTTGTTATTGAAATGTTAATTCAGATTACCACCAGTGAAATAGAATTTATAATGGATATTCTGAGATTGAAAAGTCAAGAAGGGGATTGCTTCTAGTTCAGTTCTATAGACCCAAATGTTTAATATTAAGCTAAATCAGTGGTCTCCTCCTAACTTCTCAGGACTGTTTCTAAGTTTCCCCCATTTATGTAGCACAGCACTGATGTTGCTGAAAAATTCCAATGTAACATGCAACAGTGGTTCCTAATTGCTTTAGCATTTATCATGCACAAGAGACAGAAGGGAAATTGTCTCATTTTGTACAGCTCAGTTGCATTTCTTATCTCTGAAGTACACTTAAGCAGCAAATTGGGACTTAAGGTAGCTGCCTGAAAACCAGCATCCATTAACATGCACGTCTTGGAGGGAAAATGAATTGGTTTTTCTAAAACAGAATATAGTTCAACCTCATTCTGTGTGTTCCTTTTGCATAATTTCTCTTTTGCACATTTTATAAATTAGGAGCTGTGATCTGGCTTACCCACACAAATTTTCATACTCACACTTTCCAGGTTCTGCCTTTGGGCAGTTTTATTTTCAAAACATTAAAAAAAGCATTTTGGTGCATTTCTAAGATGCCCTTTGGGGTCAATTAGCACCTAGTAATATTTTTCTAAGCAGTCACTGGAGGTGCTTAACTAGTGTGTACTTAAGCGTGTTTTACCTGACAAGTCTTCTGAATAGGTTTTATGCTTTAAAGAAACAGTACCCCTTCATATTCTATAGTGAGCATGTGGTTACTCTGTACGAGACTAGGGGAGTGGAGAAGCTGAATTTCTGTGCATGCACTCTTCACTGTAGATCTTTCCAGCTAGTGAGTTCTGTTGATTGTCAAAGCTGACCATGCCTACTGTTGCAGGAATTCAAGTCCCATTAAGATGTGAATCACCAAATGTGTCTACAAAGATCAGGTAGACGGATAAGCACAGATATGCCTGTCTGTCTCTGAGGGATTGTTTGAGATGAATAAAATATATTTGGGCTATTCCATGAAAATTTAGATTGCCTCCCTTGAAGCGAGGATAAGAATATATACACATACATAAACACATTTTAATTACACAGATTCTAAGATGGTCTCTGTTGCGGACAGTTTCTAATAATAAAAGCCATCTAATCACACATTCTCACTGTGATATTCTTTTACATACAAATTCGCAGGTGCATCAAGTAAGGTCAAGCTGCACAGTGAACTCAATTGTCTGCAAATATACAATGCATGTAGCTTGTGGATTATGCACATGGTGTGGGGACTGCCTCCCGGCCCTGTGCCCATCTGATTCCACAGATTCCCTCTCTCCCACATTGGTCCTTGGGCAAGCATTGGTCCCAGGGTCTTATTTACTTTTACTACCCTACTGTGTGGCAAGGGTGATTTGGTAAAGGAAAGAATCAGGGAGGCAATTATTTTTCCAGTGTTCCTTTAAACCTTTGGTTTCTGATAAGGCTGACGATATAATTTGCTAATATATTCTTGATATTCAATTCATCTGTCCTTCTATACTCCATCAATGCAAAAACGTTTATCTGTTCACTGGTGTATTTCCCATGTACCCATATTTGCCTTCGCAGTGGTTAAAAATAAGTAAATGGAAAGGGAGTCATTTAAAGGGCGAGAGTAAGTGACAAGGGAAGGAGACCAAAAAAAAACGGTAAATGATTACCTTAACCTCCTGGAGTAGTTGCTTCAATATAGGATTCACAGATTATCATTATCAACATGAAAACCCAGGTAAGTTCTACACTAGAATCGCCTCCACATTTGGAGAATCAAGAGTTGATGTATTAACTCTATTGAAAAGCCTCATGTTTCTAGGCGTAGTAACTTTAACCCAAACCCTAAATTATCCCAACTTCTTTATTCTAAAAAATGCAGTGAATTCTACCACAGAGCAGAAAAATATATTTATAATGGAGTAGAGAAAACACTGTTAAGAAAAACTGAGTCTCCACACAAATAACTTTCATGAACACATTTATTGCGAGTAGCTCTATGGAAAGGCAAGTCAGATATATATATAAACACTATACAGAGTTGCAAGGTTGTCTCCCAAAACTGCAAATGAGATGTTTACAAAGAAAAGAGAGTATAAGAGTATTTACAAAGGAAGACAAAGCCAGAGCAACTCAAAGCAGATCTGTGAAGCAGAAATAGCAAATGTAATGAACTGTTGGAACTGTAAAGTTTTAGTTTTTACTGACCAAGTGACTATGTCTGATACCAAATTAAATGTAGAGGTCACAAAAAAATCGTTCCATCATTGGTTTTTCTTAACAGCAGCATAAACTGATAGCTGGAAGGTAAGTGATATGTTGGTACACATATCCTAAAACGATTCTTCCAGCACAATACTGAATAAATTAGTTGTGTCTGTAAACTAATAAGTAGTGTTAAAAAGATTGCATATTTGTTATGCTGTACCTGTGACTACTTGTACCTGTTACTATTTGTATGTACTGTGCTGTATGAGGTTTTCCATTCATTTATTCAGCAAGTGTTACATCTGTGCTGTACCCTGTCTTCTGGCAGCCCCTGAACCTAATATGCAAATAAAGCAATATAGCGTTTTCCCCCAAATAATATTTTCTTTCCACAATTCTGAACGATTATGACTTAACTTACTTGAAAATAAAATGGTGACAGAGGCTTGAAAAAAGGCTGCCTAAAGAGTGCATTGTTATCATAATGAACAAAAGCCACACTGCATTGTTTGATTAGGTTGGAAAAAGAGAAGAGTCTGAAGGAACTGATGAAATTGATGCCCTGGCAGTGACCAGTAACTGAGTAGTGATTGGTACTGCAGCCACATCCTCTCCTCAGCACCATTCACAGGGGTAAAAAAAGAGCCCCCCCCCATCCCTTGGTTGGTAGGCAAAGAAAAATAAAAGAAGTCAACTCAGTTCTTCAGAAAAGTTAGTTTAGCAACATGTACTATAAGCCTGCTCGAAGATAGAAGTACACGTTTAAAGACATCAAAATCGAGTGGTGAAAATCTTTAGGTAAATATTACACTACTTCAAAGTTGCACGTTAAATGCGAAGCAATTTTTTTTAACAGAGTTACACACAACAGGTACATCTACAATCACATGTACACAGGTACACAAAGGTGTGCATACACACAAATATGTGCACACACACATTAGCACTCACATACTTATACACTCACACCCATCTGTGATAAGATGAGGTTTGCCAGTGATGGTACAAGTCATGATTTGTGCGCCACCACATAACAAAGCTCTAAGCAAGTTTCAAGACCTTTGTACCTATCATCTGTGATCACCACCTGTTAGTGTCATGTGCTCAAAGGTCCAGGTTCCTAAAATCTTAATTCAGTTTCCATAAGAGGCAAGCAAAAACAGGAGGGGGAAGCTTACTTTGATTTTTTTTTTTTTCAATTTGGTACATCTTACATAGGCTCATTGTCCAAAGAAAAACAAGGGCTTATAAGAGGTTCCTTTTGGCTTAAGTTTTAGTCAGAAGATTGATTGATATGTACACTCTAATTTCTTGAATATGGGAAACTGATCTCTTTATAGGAGCCCTGGGCACAGGAGGGAGAGTGTGTGTCGAGGAGAGAGCCAGAAAGAGGGTGAAAGAGAGGAGGCCCAGAGAGGCAGAGAGGGGCTTTGTGAGGAGACTTTTGAAGAACTTTGCTTCTTTTAGGGGGAAAATGCAGGTTTCAAAATTAAAAAAATAATAATGGTTTTAGAAATGCTCAATTGATTTGCAAGCAGAACATCACAGTGTTGTATATGAAGAAATAGATAATCTATTCCTCAGTTCTGCCCTTAAAATGTTGGAAATGCTCAATCAAGATATCAGTTTAGTTGACGTTTAATGAGGACAGAATCTTGCAGTTTTATTAATGAACAAATATTGAGCTAATCTGCCCTTTGGTCCTGCCTTTAAAATACTGGAAATGTCCCATCAATATATCAGTTCAGTTGACAATTAATTCCTTGATCAAGAAATGTTTTCGTGTATGTACTACTCAGAAAAAAACGATTTCAGACCATACCTACCTTCTCATGAACATAACTTTTTCCTTTATCTGCTTTTGTTTAAAGGATTTTCAACTTCAAAACTAAATCTAAGTATTATACATCAGTAAAATTGGTATTGGCCACATACACACATATGTAAATAACATTTTTTTTAAGAGAGAAAAGAAAGAGTTATGAGACGCTCACTATTATAGTACTTGTTTCTTTTCAAAGAGATAGATTGAGGAAGGAAACCAGAAAACAAAAACACAGCGTGAATTTCTTAATTCAAAATCACTGGATCCATAAGGCTGCAGTAAGAATGATCTGTGTTAGGATCATTCAACTGCCAGCATTCACTTGTAGGCTTTTAGAAATTCAGGTCGCTTTCTATTCAGAAGCCTCTGAATTTTCTTTCTTTTAGGCAGATCTGGAGTAGACAAAGATGAAATTCCATAAGCATCACTTTTCTTCTAAAATGTGTTTTTGTGGCAATGTAATCACTCTAGAAAAAAAAAAAAGATGACAAAACAGAAGTTACTTTCAAAATTAAAGTCTGAAGCACTTTCACCCCCACCCTGTTCTAAAACAAAACAAAGCAAAATCCAACTAATAGTTTTTGAGAGCCATACTGAGGAGACTGCCTTGGCATGGACATGCCTAACTGTGCCGGCTGCCTGTGACAAACACCAGCACAAGCCCAGGAAAGATGCAAGTTGTAGTTACTCCTTTGGCCCCCAGGCTGCCACTCTGACATTTCCGGTGGATAGCAGCTTTGTTCATGCATGCACTGTTCTACTTCCTCCCAGTGGGGCCAGCAAGTGAGCCAGGCATTAGGCAGACAAAGAGAATTATTTTCTTCTCCTACATGCTTGATTATGCCTCCATCAGATTATGTGGCACAAGTCAAAGGATTTAAGCACAGCCTTGGTGATAGTCTCCAGACTCGATTACTGAATTTCTTCTAAAAGAGCAAAATCATACCTGAAAAGGAGATTTGATTGAAATCCCCATTTGTCTAATAAAAAGAAGTTCTGGTATTACTCTCTTGGCCTTCTGCTTATTGAGAGGGTGCATAATCGGGAGTGGGGCAGAGGAAGGGGGTCTGGTACACTGAAGAAGGCGCTGGACTGGAGAAGGAATGGGGACACATGGTCAGCAAATTGATTATGGGACGCTAGCGTTACTTTAAGATCAGGTCACATCAAAGTACCAAGTATTCGATTTCATTACAGCCATAGAATCCCTGGAAAGCATCCCCCAGAGCAGGCTTCAAGTACAAGATCTTACATTAAACCAGCAGTATACACTTTAGCTATTCATCCTTCATCAGCGGTTTTAAAAATGTAACACCTGCAGCTGGCTGAAGCAACAAAGGTCTCCATTCCCTTTCCACCTACTTGTGGCTCTTAGTCACGATTCATTGTATAGGGCCGTTCCTCCACATTAAAAGGTTTAAAAAACATAAACATCCTAGATTAGTAAAGATATTACATTTTCCTGTCAGCAGTGGGTTTAGGAAATTTTAGAATCTATGTGTCTATCAAGTTTACACAGGATGAAAGGTGTCTATGATAGCCATAGGTTAACTGTGAGAGTGCATATCAGCAACTCAATGATCTGCTGTAAAATTAGGCTATACTAGCATCATAGAATTTTCATCAGATACTATCACCTAGATATTTTTAACAGAAATTTAAAGTCAGAAAGGTATCTCGCCTAATTTAGTTTGCTACTTTGTTTTAATATAAAAATATGTTCATATATAGCACACTGCATGTGCTTTAAAGGGGATTTCTTACTAACCTATATAATACGCTACATTTCATATACATTTTTTCCAGAAATGTACAAATTAAGCTCCATATAACTACCCCATGAACAGTATACTAAGCCTGAAATTAGGGGTATTTGTTGCTATTAGAGTTGTTTTTCTTTGTTCCTTACTTTTTTAAAATGACAGAGACTCTACTAAAAATTTGATTTATATTTCAATTGCTTTCCTATACCAGCGTTGAGTGAATGCTTGATAACATACCAAAACCTAGCAAATAATGGTGTGATTTCAAGTTTACTTTACAAAATATATTTGTCAACTCTTGATTAACCATGTTAGTGGAAAGGAATAATGCTATCCAAAACAAGATAATCCAAAAATAATTTAATTTGCTTTTGAAATGCATTACAGGAACTTGAGCCACAGATTTTCCTTTATAATCCTGTTTTACTTAGGCCAATATTAAAATGAATTTACATTCCCTGAGCACATTCCAAAGAACAGCATAAGGAAGTAACTCAGAAGCTTGCTGGGTGGCAAAGGAAAGCAATTCAAGATCAAAACTCCATCAGAAACAGTCTGCAAAATGACTATCAAAGGGCTGACAATCATATCTTAGTTCTGTCTCCTGTTGATTTTGATGTCATTTCACCACCACAAAGGTAAATGGCAATGCTTTTAATAATGTGGTCTGTTTTTGATGTATTTTTTCCACTCGATACTGACAGGTTATAAATAGTTACCTTATCGGGTATTCTTATTTTCTGATTAACCAAAGATCTTTGTAATGACAAGTTAATTCCACTCCTTTTAATGGGAGGGAAACTCTTCAAGTAATTTTTCTCTATAAGAGAGAAAACCTCAATAGACTCTGATGGGTCAAAACATTTTCCTACTTCTACCCCCAAACCTGGCAGGTATCATTTTCTTCTCAAAAATAAGTGAAGTGAACTTTTCCGTTTCAATCTGTATAATGATATAAACCTGAACATTAATCTTTACTACACTAATAAAGCACACATGACTTCAATATCCCTGGAAATTTGTAGGGTGAGCCAAGAAGGCAGTTCCTCCAGGGCATTCCAGACTTCTTTATATGAATCACAAACATGCCTCTATTACAGTGTGAAGTCCAAAACAGCAATGGCTCCCCTGCCCAGAGAAAGCCAAAACTACAACAATATATCCAGTTATTCTCTCATTCTCTTTCCACTCTCCCCAATCTCATTGCCTTAGTTATCTTTTCAACTCTAATTTTCCTAGAACTCAAAAAACTATTTTTCAAGTTCTTTTGAAAATTCCTCACTCTGTTTATTAGTCAACATACCATCCTTGCAACCGACTGGTGATCACACGAGCAGGGGCAGCCAAGTAAAGTGTTGAGGGCAGACAAACGAAAGGAAATGAAGAGAAATGGAAGCATTTGGTTTTCAATAAAAATAGATCATCACACCTTTCTGTGACCTGTCAATGTATAGGAGGATGATTCTCTAGGACTTGATAAAAATCTAAGTGCTGCCCCTCAAGGGTGAAAACTAGCAATAATTGCTGCTAGTCTTTACAACGCCAATCATACCAGACTATTGTCTCCTCCATAGATCAGAAGATCAAATATGTTTCTTTCCATAGTGGCAAGAGTTTTGTGACAGAGTAGCCAAAAGAATCTGTAAGGGAAATGGATGACACCTGTAAACCTCCGTGTCCTCAAAGGTCAGCTCATTTGTTTCACACCTGCCCTTCACTAGCGGGCCCTGGACCTCTTATGCAAGTTCATTCCCGTCTTGTTTATCTGGATACAAACTATTTGGGGATCAGCTACAGGATTTTCATCCCAGGTCAGCTTCTCCACTACCTCCCGGCACACACTTGGGTCACTTTACTCTGCCGCCTAGTTACTGTAGACTTAAAGAATGCAAGTTACTAGAATTCTAATATAGGCAGTCTCCAATTTACAAAAGAGACATATTCCAAGGCTCATTGTCTAGTTGAAACTCAGAATAAATTATTCCATGGAAACAATGTTATAAATAAATGGTGGCTAGGTTCATAGGTTTATCTACACACGCCTATATTAAACCTAACGCAGTTCCTGAACTAAGAGAGGAACTATTTTGACTATACCCAACTGTCACTTATAACATCATTTCTGTGGGAAGGTGGATTTGAAGTTTCAATTTGGAATTCAAGGCAAATATCTCTTCTAGCCCTGGCAATAGGAATAGTGTCCCCTAAACTCAAGCGGTTAGAATAATTGGGGGCAGGGTGACAGTGGAAAGGAAACTATGTAAGAGCTTCAGCCACAATAAGGAGTGCTTCATGGGGGAGCACAGGCAGGCTCTGAGGGTGAGGACAGTGTTGGTGTGCCTTCAAGGCTGGAGGCACAACTTACCACAAAGCAGGAGTTAAAGATCACATTTATTGGTCAGATGTTCAAAGGCACCGTGGGTGCGCATGTGAATAATCTTCAAGATGAACTTAGAGATAGAGATTTTATTGATATTCTAAGTTTCAAGTCTAAAAGTAGAAAATTAGTAATCACAGAGAGGCAAATTATATAAACTGTGAAAACTAGCTAAAGAGACTACCATTTATGGGGAATTGGATATTCAGTAAATCCAGAAGGTCTGGCTAGCATCAAACATATTGTGGTCAACCCAACCATGAAAATAGCTTTAAACACCAGCCCAGCTGCGTCTGTGGCAACAGGTGAGAGTAGAGCAGGCAGCACAGCCTTGTACCTGCAGAACAAGGAGCCCTGCAAGGAAGGCTGTTCCTGCAAGCTAAGCCCAAGCAGGCTGTGCACTAGGAACGAGCAACATCTGGGGGAATAAGTCCTCCGTGGGCCCCATGGGACTCCAAGAGTGACCCTCGCCTTTTTAGCCAGAGAAAAACCAGGAAAGGGCATGTTTTCCTGAAATTAGGGACACAAGTTCAGCAAAGGGCACATGAGGGTAAGACTCACATAATACAAAGAATGCAACCCTAAGCAATAAGAAAGAGGTGTGAGGAAGCTAGGGAAAAATAGCAATAACTTTCTCATTTCACTAAATAAATATTTAAGTACATATTTTTCATTAATTCTAAAAGTAATTAAATCTTCAGCCAGAAACTGTAAGGTATCCTCTAGAAGAATGCAAATCTGAAATAAGATGTCTATATTTTAAAAAAATCTTTAAAAATCCCTATTTCTCAAGTATTCAACCTACATTTCCAAAAGGAGATGGAAACCTAAGACCTCTAACTGCACAACCAATAAGCAGTGAGGAACTGCTAAAGGATATGTTTTAAGTTCATATGGCAAGCATATTATCTTGGCAATTTTGTCAATAGCTTTAAAATTAGCAATCTGATAGTTGTGGTAAAAACAGTGTGCTGTGATGTATTCATTTCATTATTATAAAAGGTAGCCTTTTTAATCTCTCATTTTTCACTCAGGACCAAGTAATGTTTTCCAGTAAATGATCTTCACCATCTAAGAGCCTGGCAGCACCTCTTAGACAAAACATACTGCAGGCTTTCCTTAAGCATTTTACAAAAGCTATTTTCCAATACTGCCAATAAAATGTCTGGGCTATTTTTACATAGTCTTAAAGCATTAAAAAAAAGGTGCTAAACAAAATGAATTTATTTTTAAATGAGGGCTTTTATGTCCCAAGGAGAGTATTTGATTCTCAAGGCTTCTAAAATTTACTTGCCTGACTGTCAAAAGCAAGTCTGCATTTTAAACAAATGAAGAGCATCTAATTCTACAGTGCTTTTCCTTCCACCTGTCTCACTTTATCCTGTTTTGCCCACTGTGATGGTTTAGTTTGGAATATCAGATTTTACACATACATAAAAATTAAAAGACTTTTTGCTAAACTGGCAAATGCCAATGGATTATTAAGAAAACCAAATATATCTAACTTCTGTTAAGGAAATGACCATTAATGCAAGTTTACTGAATGCACCCTCATTTCACTTTTACTCATTTCAATGTTTCCGTGGGATCCAAAGAGATACACACACTATTTGTGTTTGGGAGGTAAAGATTAGAAAACTCCTCCCCAGACCAGATATAAGACATTCAATTCCAGTAGAGGTCAAATTCTTTTCTTCTAAGAGCCATGGCAAACACTTCAATGTAATGAAAATTACCCAAGCTCTGGCGGATGGTTCACAGTTACAACGCTCTGAATGAATTACAACAAAATTTGCTACTGTCAAATTCAAGAAAACTTGCAATTTTCCCCAATTCTTGCCTATATAATAATCTTCCATCAATAGGAAAATAACAGGTTGAACATCTGATTAAAGGGCAGTGTGGAGTGCTGGGTGGGGCAAGAGACTTGAAATCAGACATATGAGTTTGCTTTTTAGCTCTGCCACTTACCTCTTGGACCATGGGAAAACTCTTAACACCAGCTTCAGTTCCAGTATCTACTGTCCCCCAGTAAAACAATGAATGTGAATGTGCTTTGCAACTTATAAGGCAGTATGCAACTGTAAAGCATTCCCTCAATCAACAAGTCGACAATTTAACCACAGCCCCTTTGAAATCACACACAATATTCCTTACTTCTTCCTGTACTGGTTACACTCATCTATTCCAACACAAAAATTTTGGGGTCACACTAAGAGGCCCGAGTTTGTTCCCAAAACAGCTTCCTGCCAATGACTCTAAAGTATTTTGGTTCGTGTTTGGTGATGAGGGAGAAGAAAAGACAGCAAGGGAACTTGTGTGAGTTTTTATGCATGTGTGATAATTCTGCTACGCTCAATTAAAGTCCTAGTCCTCATTTAAAGAAGATGTTTTGCTAAGGGCTGAAATTTTTACCCTGGAAATAACACTCCTAGAATGAATGCAAATGAATAATGATTGCCAACAACTTTACTTAACTTTAATTGAATGAAGTCCTCTTTCATTGTTATAGGTCAAATACCTCTACTCTAAATAACTGTCCAAATTTTTTTTTTTGAGGAGGGGTGAATGTGGCCTAAAATAACCGACCCATTAGTGGTGACTGGAAATCTCTGCTACTAGAAGATTTTATTCTAGTAATTTATAATAAGTCCAATACAACAAAAATAATTTGCTCTCAGCACCTATAATTTATAGCAAGAGGATTTGGCAGTAGTACACTGAAAAGAAGCTTACACTTCCTTCATGTTAATAATAGTGTCTAAAGTTTCAAAAGGTAATTACTACAGATTTTTTGTGCTTTTTAATACTATGTGCTATCACAACATCGCTAATTTGGCTGACCAACCCTCTTACCCCTCCTAGAGCTGCCCTTATCCTCTGACCTCTGGAATGGAAAAATCAGTGAATTTTTCACCTTAAGTCATTTCAAACTATGAATTCTACATCAGATACAGCAGTAAAAAAGGCAAAAATGTACACATGGGTCAAGAGTCAGACTAAACCATATAAGAAACTACGTTCTCCTCCTAAATGCTAATGCTTATCACCCATGTGTTTAAAATGTGAAGACTTCACACTTTCTAAGTTATTTCACTTATAGAAAAGTCAAGTCCAGGTTATATTTCTGGGTGCTTCTTTCCAATTGTCTTGAACAAATGCCTTTAAAGTACTTAACTTATATGCAATGTGACTGTAGGTAAATGAGATTATATATTAATTTTGTGTTGTGTGAACAAAACTGTGTCACTACCTTAAAATCTTACTTCATTTCGCTTAAGTTATAAAGAAATCCCAACTATAAAGATCCCAACTCTGAACAATCATGTAAACTATTTTAAATGAAAGTAAAGAGTAACTGAAAAGTGGGATTTGAGGACAGAGAACTTTAATTTAGCTTTGTTTTTCTAAAGGTAATAATAATAATAACAATGATAACAGTTGTATAATAATTCATCTACAACACTTACTATGTGCCAGGCACTGTTCTAAGTACTTGTCATAAATTAAAATTACCCTTTGAGATACATAACTCCTAATAAAGACTGTGCCTTTGTTCCTTTGTCAAAGCATATTTTTTGTTTTCTAACATGATATATATTTTTTTAATGTGAGATAGGAGAGTGAAGAGAGATCGGAAATGCATGAAATTATTCCATAGCTTCATAGTGAAAAAATTATTAGAATTATGTAGCCTGTACTTAACACTTCACAGACAACATTCTAACATATCAATTTACATTAAAATGGTAACAAAAGTCATTTCCTGCAATGAGTTCTTTCTATATATCCTTCCTTTTATATATCTCAGCAAATTATGTGCCTGGATCACCCTCAGGACCACACATTTCTGCAAGAAACTAAATCATCAGTTTAAACTGTTGAAACTTCACTTCAGTGTTAATCCAATGACAAAATAAAAATATATTTGTAAAGTGCTTTAAAGTTCCAAAGGGCTTCGACATTCATTCTCTTATTTCAACCTAAGCACCTACCTTCCTGTGGGATACAGCCTCCTTGCTGTAGTCACTCAATAAAGTTAGGAATTTCCTCAATGAACAATACATTTAGAGAACATTAAGTCTCTAAAGTAGCTACAAAGTCATTTAAAGTTATTTGTAGATCAGTAACATGCTAAAATATGATAATTGAATCTAGATAATCCCTGGGAAGTCAGGGTTTATTTAAGGAACAAGAAGATTTCACTAATTTTAATCTTTGCTTAAACAAAGAGTATTGGAAAGTACAGACAAACCTCTATGAAAACTTGTCCTTTCCAAAGTACCACAGGGACACAGGCAGCTATGGACCACCTACACCAATATCATCAATGCTATCTTCAGCAGTTAGGCTCAAACAATAGCTTGAGACCAATTTCCAGGTGTACTTTACAGAATAAAATAGATCTGGTCCTGAAAAGCCGGTTGTGAATTAAATTCTTGGAAATAGAATTACACATTTTAAATTCATAGTAGTGGTGATCACGTATGTGTGTGTGTGTTGGGGGGAGCTCACAGTTTAAAGGAGATCTGAATGGAATCCTTTGGCAAGCCAAAGCACCCTTTTGTCGTTTTAACGATCACTCTTTCATGTGTCCGTGCTGCAAATGTGAGTTTTTGTATGGCAAGTTTTCTAAAGCAGGGGGAGAAAGGGGAGGAGGGCTACACCTGCACTAAATAGGGAGCTTGTTAGGTGACTGTTGTGATCAGTCCCCGACTTGTTCTGCCTGATCAAGCACAGTGGGCACAGATCCAATCACAAAAGCATTCCACAAAGCAAGCAAAGCAAAAATCTCCACTAAACTGACTACTGGAATGAAAACTGCTGGGGTCCATCCCTTCCCTTCACTGAGAACGAAGTACATTCTACTCAAGAGAGAAGGCAGTTGAGACTATGGAGACGTCATCTTCTGAAATCATTTCTCGAGAATGTCGCAAGACGCACTGATCACAACATCGCACAATGTACACAGTAGATTTACTCGAAGTCTTATTTCCAAGTCTGACAGCTCCTACTCTTCCTTGTTCCTTTGGAAAAGTAACCCTTTAAAAAACTTCCACTGTTCCAGGGAAGGCTGCCCCTGGGGTCAGGTCTTCCTCCAGCCTTATTATCTTGCTTTACTGGATTTCCCAGAAGACACACCAATTAGATATTTTAAATGCTTTTTAAACCTTTCAAACAATATCCATACCCATTATCAAGTTGTCACCATACCCTCTTTTGGGAGTTACATGAAGAAAATGAGGCACAGCGAAGATGACTTGCCTGTCACTACTAATGACAGAGGAAAGGAATACTCGAGGTTTCTGGCAATTTATCCTGTGTGAAAACAAAACAAATCAACACAAAAATACATTCCAGAGCCAAATATTCTCTTCTTTTAATCACTTGTTGTTTTGGATTATTTATGTTTTGTTCCCTCCAGACAATCACGCTAACAATTGAGATTTAAGTTTCTTGGTAAATCACAGTAAACTAGCATAACAATGACTGCTTTTTAAAAAATAACTTTCAGAGGAGAAAGTCATCCGTGCCGAAATGTTAACAGGTTATTAATACTGCTGAATATTCTGTGGTCTTATTAAAATTCCTGCAATTAAATATGGGCATTTGTAGAAAAGCAGCTTTTGTTGATTTGAAAATGAGCTGGTGGGATTCAATTAATGATGTCCTGTTTGCATAAATTATTACGTGTTAGGGAGGGATATTTGAAAGCATCCTCATGCTATATATCCTTAAGTTTTAACTACTCCTAAAAAGTAGAACCGATGTTTAAATAAACGATCATCAGTTCTTTCCAGATAAAGAAACTTATGATTGGATTAAAACTTACGTTTTTGCAAAGATCACACAGTATTGCAGGAATAATGAAAACTGAATTCTATTTTCCATGCTAAATAGGCACCAGATAATGTAATGCTAACTTACTTTTTCTTAACATTGTAGACATAGTATCACATCGATTCATTAAGCAATAACCATTAACTTTAGAAAAGTGAATTCTAAAATTACCAACCTCTTTGGGGAGAGTCGAACTTCTTGTTGTCAGGTCTGGCAAAGTCCATTCTCACGTACGTGTCGTCGTCGTCAGAATCTTCTCGCTCCGGGGGTCTCAGCACCCGGCGGCGAGGTGGTGGTGGTGGGGGAACGGCAGCTGCAGCGGCAGCCTCGCCGGTCCCATTCTCACCACCGGCAAGGTCTGCAGATGGGTTTTGGGCTCTAGGGTTCGAGCCACTGGCAACATCTTGGGCCCCCGTTACTGCTTCAGCATCAGCAGCATTAGCAACAGGTTGGAACCAGCGGACGGAGGCGGAGTCAAATCCAGCGGCGGCCTCGAAGCCGGCGGCGGCTGCGCCGATGCCCGGGGCCGCGGCGAGGGCGGAGGCGGCGGCTAAAGCCCGGCCCACGGCTAAGTTTGGCGCGGCGGCCGAAGCGGTGGCCGAGGCTACGGAGGCGGAGAGATCTCTCTCGAGACTGTCGGTTGGGAAAGCTGAGACCGCGGCTCTGGCGGATGCAAAGAAACTTTGCGAACGGCTTTGCGGGCGTCTTCTCTCTAGCTCTTCTTCCTGCAGCAGCCTCGCTACAGGTGGTGGTTCAGAGCATCGGCTGGGAGAGAGAGAAATGTCCATACAGCACTCAGAAAATGGGTCGACCACATAGATTCGACCTGTTTCAGCATCATAGCGAATGGCACTGTCAGCAAAAGGCACGGCTGGTGTCATTGCTGGGTTGAAAATCACTTCAATGTAGTCACCCTCTTCCTCATGAGCATTGCTCCCTGTAGCACTGGGAGGAAGAGGCGGAAGTGGCCACCTAGCACCGTCCAGAGAGAGGGGGCTGGCACCTGGAATAGCTCTTAAAAGATCTGAGAGGTTGTTTGCTGGATTTGGAAATGGCACTCCGAACTCAACATTCACATAATTGGAAAAGGCTGACTGTCTGGGGTTGGCAATTATGCCCCACAAATCTGGCAGTCCTTGAGTAGAGGGTGCTGGCGTATTGCTGTCTCTTTTAGTGAAGTCAATGTTGACGTAGTCACTAGAGCTGTCAGCTTGTCTCCGCTCACGTGTGAGCTTTTGTGGTTTTGGCTTGATTTTATTTCCTTTTGTAATAAAAGAAAGTCGGTTAGGTCTCTTAGCCTTGATCTTGGGGGGCCCCTCATCTGAAGGCTTTGAAGGTAAACCCCCATCACCAGGCTTTGAGAACGACCCCTCAACTGAAGGCGTTAAAGCTGCATCTTTGGGGCCTCCCTTAGATGAGGCTTCTTTGTCCAGGCCCTTCCCCAGTAATTTTCCAGGTAACATTGGAACATACTCACTGTGGTCACTCTGTCCCAGTGGGGAGCTCCGAAAAGGATTTGGCAGAGAGAAGTAGGAACTCCAACTTTTGGAGGAAGAGCCACCCTGAGGATTTCTGGGGTTTTTTGGAATTGCACCGGCCCCAGGAGCCATAAACATGTAGTCACTGTCACTGTCATTATCCTTTGAGTCATCCTCTTTATCAGGATCGGGTGCTTTTGGAGGACTTGGGGCAGAGGGTGGGCTCACCCTGGGAAACATCATCATGTAGCCTCTTGAATCTTCAAAAGGTGATCGAGAGTGGCGCTTCTTTGAAGCAGAGACGTTTTGAGGAGCCATTGGCATATAATCACTGGAGCTTGCGAGAGGGGCAGCCACCCCTGGCCTCATTGGCACGTATGGGTCATCCTCATCTTCATCAAAAGCTCTGACTCTGTGGGGACCCCGAGTTGCACCCTCTAGGGTCTCTGCCTCTTTGACTTCTTTGGCTTCTTTGCGTTCTTTTGTGGCTCCTCTGTCAGCACAAAAATAAAGTCGGAACCTTCCCCCAGACTTGCCTTTTCCACCAGTTGCTCCAGCTGGCGGAGGTGGAGGTGGAGGTGGTGGCATTTGCTGTTGCTTACTTTGAGTTAATTTGCCAAAGTAGGATCTTTTCTTCAGAGATTTTCCACGTTCACCATTGCCATCAGAGCCTTTCCCACTTCCTGAGCCTTTGCCCCCTCCAGAGTTCTTGCCACTGCCTGAGCCATGGCCATCCCCAGGTCCCTGGCCACTGCCTGAGCCGTGACCACCTCCAGCTCCCTGGCCACCACCTGAGCCATGACCACCTGTGGTGCCTTGGCCATCTCCTGAGCACTGGTTTCCTCCTGCACCGTGGCCCCCTGAGCCCTGGCTGCCACTTGAGCCCTGGCCACCTCTGGAGCCCTGCCCTCCCCCTGAGCACTGGTTTCCTTCTGAGCTCTGGCTACTGGAGCCTTGGCCACTTGAGCCCTGGCCACCGCCTGAGCCCCGGCCATTTCCCGAGCCCCAGCTGTTCATGGGCATGTAGTCGCCTCCATTTCCTTCCTGACCCTCTTTACCCTCAGGACTGCCTTCTTCCCCAGAGTTGCCAGAGCCACAACCAGATGCTTCAGAAGACAGGCAAGCTCCATCGTTGGAGGCTTCTGCAGGGTGCGGGGCACGCACCGGGCTGGGTGCTAAGCGGCGAAAAAAGCTGGCTGGCACCGAAACTGCTCTCCTGGACCTGCGCGCTCGGGGCAGGTGCAGTCTTCCCCGCCTCGAGGGGGGTACAGGCTCGCTGGGTGTTATGTAGCGCCTGGTGAGGAGCATCTCGTCTTCCCCGTCACCAATGGCCCTGAGGTGGCAAAACTGCTCAAAGCGGGACCTTCTGAGCCAGCCGCCGGGCTCCAGCGGCAGCATGTCCAGGTGCCTCCTAGCGGACAGCAGGGTTAACAGGTGGGCGCCGATGCTGATGCTGTAGCTGCGGCAGCGGGCTCTGTATTCGTCTGCACACAAGGCTCTCATCTTCTCCAAAAACAGCTCATGCATGTTTTGGGCCACCACACAGTCATCGACCTGCATCCAGAGCTCCCCCGGACCGATGACGGTGGACCTGCCCACTTCTAAGAAGAAATACTGCTCCGAGTGCCCGCAGCGTCGGATGCTCAGGAGCTGGACGACCACGCTGGCCACCTCGGTATTCAGCCTCACAAATACAACCTCTTCGTCGGTAAGACAGAGCCGGAACACGCCGCTCAGCTCTTTTCTGTGCCCCAGCCCCCTGGGTTTGACTATTACCTGCCACACATCTTTGTAGAAGGGTGGCTCCGCCGCCGCTGCAGCCGCCAGCGCTGCCGGCTCTCCATCCGGCTGCGCGCCGGGCGTGCCGCAGCGGCGGCGCTTGCTCTCGAGGATGAGGCGGCTGAGCAGCAAGTACCAGCTCTCTTGCTCCGACTCGTTCTCGGCCACCATCGCGAAGTACTCGTCCTGGGTGAAAAGGGCGATGAGGTGTCGGTACCTTGCGTCGGCTCGCTGGCTCACCGAGAAGCACTGGTACAAGGTGATCACGCGCCGCGGTGGGATGAGCGCGGGGACCGTGGCGCCAGAGGCGGCCGCCGCTGCTGCAGCCGCCGCGGCGCGGACACTGTGCCGGAACTTCCTGGCATTTTCGTAGTATTCCAGCCGAGCTGGGGCGTCGGCGGTCTCGAGTTTGAGCACGAAGTAGCGCCTGTGCCCATGCTTCTGCTTCCGCAGGTATCCGCGTTTGCAGACTTCGTCCCCGACGGGGAGGTCCTCCTCATCGGACTCGGAGTCTGACCGGGAACCAGTGGCCGTGGAGAGCCACATGGCTCCCGGACAGGACGACCCGGTCCCAATGAGTGCGGTCGGGGTTCCCGAGGAAAGAAGTGGGGTGGTCGCCACCGCAGCTATAGCTGCCGCTGTTGCCGCTGCTGCAGCTCTCAGTCTCCTTGTCGCTTGGTCTCGAGCGAAGGAGCAACTCGCCATGGTGATGCACGATGGTTTTAAGGTGAGCGGGTGGGGGGGGGCGGTCGGGGAAGGGAGGGTTGGGGGAAGAGGCCGTCTACCCCTGTCCGCCCGCCCCAGCCCCCTCCCGCCTCGGCCCGCGCCCCCGCCCACTCCACTCAGAGCGCCCGGCAGCAGGCAAAACAACACGTGACCACTGCCTCACGCGGCGGCCGCTGCGGCTCCCGCTACCGGCGCAGTGGAGGGGCTTGAGCTGCCGCCAGTAGAGGTGTGCAAGGGAGGGGGCGGCGGGCCCGAGAGGCGGGGCCACCTCCAATCCGGCCTAGACCCTCTCGGTGAATCTCCCGGCCTGTGGGCCACAGGAGGACCGACGAGAGGAGGCGGGGCTCTCTGCCAAGCTGGTCCTAACGAGGAGTCCACGAAGGCACGAGGGGCCAGGAGACGGCCGAGAGGGGCGGAGGAGAGAGCGGCCCCCGATAGGGGCCGGGCGGGGGCGCCACAGCCCGGGCTCGATTGGCTGGAGGGGGCCAGAGGTGGTGGGAGGGGTCGGAGAGCAACCGTCTCGGGCGGCGCCAGGGAAACTAGCTGGCACGGTTGCGGGACGGTTTGTTTGTTTATTTGGGAAGCGGGAGCCAGGTGAAACTGTTGCAAGGTTCTCATTGGATGGGATGGGAGCCAATGGGAGTGTCTGGCAGGAAGGCGGCCCTGAGTTAATTACTTTGGGGGGCAGGAGGGGAGCTGAGGGGCGAGGGGGCGTGGCTTGCGTCCCGGAGTGGGCTCGGATGTCTGGTTGTCGCGCAATCAGGCGGTAAACAACCCTCTGCAAATAGCTGTTAATGGTTGTGATAAACTCGTGTAAATCCCTGAGCCACGGTGACCGAGGAACTGAGCCGGGCACCCTTTCTTTTTCTCACTGTCCCTCACAGAAATTCTCTATTCCTGTCACAGTCTGGTCCACTTGCTCCCGCCGCGCACGGCCAGCTGAGCGTCATGGGAGAAAGTGTGGGCACCCCATGGAAACGTGTGTTAACGACCGGGGCCCTCTGACTTACCGCCCACCGCACTGCAGCCACTCCTGAGCCCGCTCCAGCCCTGACAAAAGCCCGCGACTCTCAGGCACACGAATAACAGCGATGCCTTCAAAATGAACATAATTTTTAATCAAAGCTAATTTCTAGCCCACAAAACGCAGGTTGGCTAAAGATGGTGTTTCTGGCTATTTGATTAATGATGACTATGAAAGCAGAAATTTGGGGCCCTGCAAAGTATACAGCCATGTTGAAAAAAATCAGGCTCGATCCTTACTGAAATACACCAGTGTTGAGCTGTCGTGGTATCTTCCCGTGGGAGATGCTTTGAAAGGCGCCTTTAAGAGAATTTCAAAATAATATTGTTCCCTTTCCTTGAACGAGACCGAGAAAACTTTAGAAAAAGAAAAGCTCACACCTAGTACAAAGGATCATACCGAATACATATCCTAGAATATATTTTACGTCCCTTGCGTCAAGAAAAGAAGATTTTTGCTGAATTTCAGTCTACAACTTGACATCACAAAAATAAGAACTACTGCCTCCCTTGTTTCTGGAAAAACTGCTGGAGTGTAAGTGCAACCTCCTGAAGTATTTCTCTCTCAATCTTTCTCTGTCTGTCTCTGTCTCTCTGTCTCTGTCTCTCTGTCTCTGTCTCTGTCTCTCTCTCTCTCTCTCTCTCTCTCTCTCTCTCTCTCTCTCT